AATTTCAGGTGCTCTTAGCTCACGACAAATTTTCCTAAACGCATAATCTGCTAGTGAAAACTCTGTTTCATTATTTAGATGACGAGATTCCTGATCGGCAATAATGTTCTCTTGAGATTTTATATAAGACGCAAAGATAAATAAATTACGCTCTTCGCACTACTGAAAAATTTGCCTTGCAAGGCCGTTGAAGATATGGAACCTGAATATCGCCCATTCTATTTATATATGAAATGGCTGTGGTGTTATCTATCCGCAACAAGATTTCACAATTCACAAGGTCTGCAGCAAAGCACTTGAGTCCAAAAAATTTCACCAGCAACTCTAAATAATTTATATGGTGCTTCTTATCGTCTTTAGACCAAAAACCGTGGAACTTGCAACTGTTACAGTAGATGCCCTAACTAGACCGGAAACTGTCACTGAATATTTCAGGCTTGAAACTAAAAAATATGAAAATTATTTTTGCCTGAAAGGTGATTTTCCACCAGAGAAGGTCCATTAGAACTTCTCTAGAAAATCTCATCTCGACATTGCAAGCTCCTGTTATCTTTTTAGTGCCAAAAATTTTGCTCTTTGACAAATTTTGGTGTAAAGCCAACCATATTTAATAGCTGGGCATGCAGCGATCAATTTACCAATCAGTTTAGCAAACTTTCGGATAGTAAATGTAATATTGCTCACAAGTTTGTGACTATGTTCTGACATGGTTTTTGCTGGTCTAAATGTAAACTTACAGTTATGTCTATTGAGTTATATAAGAAACCTAAGTTTCTTATTCGTGTGCATGGGACAGTCATACTCCTCTTTGAATTGATCAGAAAGCCTAAATCTAACAAAACTTTTATTTTTTTGTCAATGTACAATACTGAAAAAAAATCTTGTTGTCGTAAGTGGGATAGAACTCACTTCAGCAATTTTGTAAACACATAAGGTGCTGTGTTAAGTCCGAAAGGTGAGCAGGTATATTCATACATTTGCCCAGAAAAAACAAATCTTGCATATTTACGATGGTGTTTATGTATTGGGATTAGGTGGTAGGCATCCTTGAGATCTAAGGATGCCAGAAACATGTTTTCCTGCGGTAATCTTGTCACCGTTTTATGATCCTCCATCTCAAAATGTTCTGTCATAATGAACTTGTTTAAATCTTTCAGATTTAAAATTAATCTGTACGAACCGTCATGTTTGGGTGTTAAAACAATATTTGAGAGAAATTGACCTTGTTTAAAAGAGCATTTCCTTAGGGCGTAAAGCGACAAAAGACGCTTAATTTTAACATCTAAAAATCTTTGTTCTGTTAAATACCATTTCAGTTCCTTAGGGGCAGATTTCTGAAACGGTGTTTGGTAAAACGGGACTAGATAACCTTGACCCATGATAACAGCAGTTTATCTGAAGTTAGTGATTTCCAGGACCGTGAAAAGTATTTTAACCTTTCACATTTATAGATTACCTCTAACTGGTCCGTGTTGGATAAGCCTGGGCTTAGTTGGTTCGATAAATTGGACGATTTTCTTCGGTTGAGCTAGAGATCTTCCGAGTGTTTTTGACCTCCAGGCTCTGAGTTTTCCGGAAATATTTGGGTCTGCCTCGATACCCCTTGACATTTGCTCGAGACAGACTCTTGAAATTTACCGAAGCGGTAGATCTGGCTTTAGGCTTGAGGTTTGACGATAACTTCTCCATTTCACGAGCTGCTTTCAACCGATCACCAAAAATTTGTCCAAACAACCAACCGTCAACAGTTACATCTACATCCACCGAGACTGGATTTCTTCTACAGGTAGACTCTTGATGGTGGATAACCGAAATTAAACGCCGTGCATCACTGAGCCATTCAACCAACACTCTTGTATGTGCCCCCTCCCCTTTTTCCAAGCGGATTGTCAGTGCTTTGCCAATTGCCACCAGAGCGGCTCCTATCTGGTCTTGACGCTTAGCGAGTCGTAGATCTCGCTGTTTGTACTGTTCCGTAAGAACCGATAAGATCTCCAAATTGAGTTTGGGAGCAGTAGCGATGCTTAGATTACTGAGCCGAGAATACGTGCTCAATCTCAATATAGTGGTTAGCACCTCGGGAGACAGACCTTCCTGTAATATTTTAGACCAAATTTGCGCAAGCTCATTGTTCAGATCATTTGTAGAAGTCTAATCGGCAAGATTGTTTTTCCGCAAGAGCGCCAGAATTTCATCAGAAGTGGCAACATTGCCTTTTCCCAAAGGTGCCTGACACTCGCCGGAAGTGGCGACAATGTTTTTCTCCAAGAGCGCAGGAATTTCGGTAGAGACGGCAACATTGCGCTCGGCAACTCCGTCCTCTGCTATGAAATAAATTACAACACACTTACGATTTGTCAAAACTCGTTGACAATAGAATAAAGTAATCGTAATGCCTTATACTTTGCCAATACTCGTTGGCGGTGTGGTAAAATAGTCGTGTTTGTCATAACTCGTTGACAACACATTTGTCGAAACTCGTCGGCAGTGTAGAATCACAACTGCGATGCATCACCATTTTGCCAAATCTCGTTGGCGGTGTGGTAAAATGGTCGTGTTTGTCAAAACTCGTTGACAACACATTTGCCGAAACTCGTCGACAGTACCCAGAATAGTGAATGAAAGGGGTACGTCTACAGGCCACGTCTGTTGTGTGTACCAAAACTCATTGGTAGCCATCTTATTATTTTTTTGTCATTGTGCACGTTGTGCAATACAGAAACAATCAGTGGAAAACTTACATGCTGAAGCGGAAGTATCATAATTTACAAGGTCCAAAGCAGGCCGCATTATCTGTTGAGAAATACCTTCATCTGCACTGTTGTCACGTTCCGGTGAAGGTCCGCGTCGTTTACGTTCCCTCTGGAGACAAGACACTTTGTGAGCCAATTTTTAACATGATATCTGCCACTCATCAGATGAACTGACAACCGAGTACGTATCCGAGCGGGACCTAGCCCGTTTTCGCACGTTTTTACTCATTATGCCGGTAATGTCCTGGAACAACGTCACTCCACTCGCACTCAAAAGAGTAATGAGTCATTGACAGTCCGCAGCGGTGCAAGAGGGCTGCACCGGGCGGATCTTGTTTGCTTTGGAATGCGTGGCTCTACCTGGCGGCGAAGAGTGAACCTCATAGTGATCTAGAGCAGAGCTGTCCAACTTAATGTTGCCCAAGGGCCACTTCAAAAAAAATGCAGTTTGGAGGGCCGCATTATAAAATCTTTCTATGCAAAATTATTACTGAGTTTGTAAGAATTGTGCATATTCGGTATTTGAGAGTAATTTATACATGTGATGTATACATGACCCGTGAAGCGGGCCGCAAGAAAGGAGTTCGCGGGCCGCAAGAAAGGAGTTCCGTATGTTGGACAGCCCTTTTCTAGAGGAGGAAGAGGCGGGAAGTATAATTATCGATATCATAAGTATCGATACCTTTCTATTCGGAATATTATACACTACTGAAAAGTTGTTTTTCTACAACCCTCAAAATATTGTTTTTTTCAACTGCATGACTAAATTGACAACTACGTTCACTAATAAGAATAAGTAAAAACCTCAAAATTGCATAAATTACATCTCCCTCCTAAACTCGATTTTACAAAATAGCTCCACAAATCAGTTCTTACAGGAGGCATCACTATCACAATAATGTTTTGTTTTAAACTATAATGTTTAATCGATCAATACTAAAAACACTGTGTCATGTGTGTGTGAGTAATTCCCCTAAACCGCATCCAACCGGGTTGCCAGGTCGTTTAGCTCAGTTTCTCCAGTCGAAATGTGAAAATCCCCTAAATTCAGGACTTTCAAAGAAAAAAATCCCCCAAAAATACCATTTATTTTTTGTTGCCATAGGTTTATGATTTGTTAGGTATTCTTGGATATTGAAACATTTTTTTGAGCGACTTATTTTTCGTATGTCGATAAATACCCCAAAAGGTAGAAGTATTTGTTTCGAATCGAAAGACAAATACATACATAACAAGTACATTATGTAATGTCATGAATAAAAGATTACATAATACCTCCCCAGTAAAATATGTTTCCCCAAAAGGAATCCCCAGAAAAAAATAACTTCAAAATCTTCCCCATTGAAATAAAAATTCCCTAATTTTTCGGGAAAACCTCCTAATGTGGTAACCCTGGAAACCAAAATAAATTATGTGAGGTGGTGAAGTGAGTAGCACCAGCGGAAGGAAACAAAGAAGAAAAGTAATCTGAAGGTAGTCGCTCTTTCTGACAGAGTCCGGATCGGACGATAACGATCTGCAGCTATGTTCCCCAAAATGATAAAACTTTAACGGTGGTTTGCACCGGTTCGGGTTAAAGTGAAGCTTAGCGCTAACTTCGAGTTAGTCTTTGCACCGTCATAGTTATCTCGGAGTTAAGGCCTAACTCTGGGATACATTTACCTCTCTCATTTGAACTAGGTGTTAAGGCGGATAGCACAATGAAAATGTAGAGTAATACCTGCGCATCACAATGCGCACTGACAATAACAAACAGGTTAAGATTTAAATGTCAAATGACGTTCTTTATATATATTGTATATAAATTTGTGATTCTGTTTGGAAGTTGTAAATCTGAAAATATTTTATCCAGCCAAATCAAACACAAACGATAATCGAGAAAATAGCAAAGAAACTGAATACAAAACACAAGTACTAAAAAGTCAAAATTTACGTCAATCTTTCAAATCCCAGCACAAATCAAGAAACTTTTAGCACAGAACTAGCCTTTGTGGCAATATTGCCCATAAATATATTAATTCTAATAAATATCTCTATATTCCAAGCTTGCCAACATGACCAAAAGTCGGGGTTTATAAACCCAGAGTTAAACCTTGACGGTGCAAAGCTACTCGAATTTAACTTGGGGTTACCGCTAACTACGAGTTAAGTAACCCCCTCACCTTTAACCCAAAGCGGTGCGAACCACCGTCAGTGTCCTTAATAATTTGACAAACCACTTTCTGTGTATCTTTGTCAATTTTATAGGCGGAGGGGTATGTGATTGGCAGTTGCATAAAGCACATCCCCATAGCTGGACGCAACATAACATACTTCATTCAATCATTGTTGCGTGAAAGGGAGATTGGCATCCCGCCCGAGCAGTCACTGGAAACAGCCAAGGCCATCAAAGAAAAATATTGTTACATATGTCCAGATATTGCCAAGGAGTTTGCTAAATATGAAGCAGACCCTGGAAAGTGGATTAAGAAGTACGAAGGCATTAATTCAGTAACTAAACAGCCATTTACTGTAGATGTTGGTGAGTAGTTTTTTATAATGAAGGAGCCACCAGGCGAAGCCTAAATGCGGGGGTACCGCGTCTGCTATACGGATCTTAATTCGCTGGCCTTCTCTAAGCAGTGGTTTAACACCTTCGCAGCCAATGACTCCGATCGGAGCCAATCGGTGACCTTCGCCATGTGACAACGGCTCCGATCGGAGGCATCGGCAGCGATACGAATAATCCTGGTTTCAATTCCGCCGGCTCCGATCATGGCCAATTTTTTTGCTTTATCAATATACACCTTTTTTAAATTCGATACCAATATAAATAACTAAAAATCATTACATATACCAATAGTAGTCTGATTGGCGAAAAAAAGTATTTGGCCATCGGGAACAGTTAATCTATTCTGAGTAGGCAGCGAACGTGTTAAATGACTGATAATCCGAAAACGATATAGCACAACTCTCCGCTTTAGCAAATACTTAATTTTAGTAATATTTTATATGACGGTTGTTCATTATTTTTGAAGATAATCAGGACTGTTACTTTGCTCCTGTAGATTATTGCCCTTCCTGGTCGGCACGGGTATTACGTATCTTGAAAAGTGACATTATGTCGATTTTTTTCACATTATATGGGTTTTTTGTGAAATTATGTAGGTTTTTCTACAAGATGTTAACTTAGCACTAGCTGATGGACACTTTTTGTGAACTCGTTTTGCAGTCGTACGTGTTGCCTAAGCGTCATGATGCTTCAATTATCAATGAGTGTCTCTGATATGTGTACTAGCTAGAAGGAAACGGCAGTGCATAGGTGTATAGTTAGGATTTGTGTGCTAATAGTATGTGTTCATGATAATTCCATTAGTTTCTTGTCTCAAATACACTTACTTGAGATTCAAAGCCAGAAATTAGTTGCGCATCCAATTTTGAGTTTTAAAAATGAGTGAGATAAGAAAGAAAAATCCCTGGTTGGTGAAGGAACAGCTCAGAAAATATGCTACAGATAGGAATATTTATGAAAGTGAAAAGGATATTACATTATTTTTTATTTCCAGTCATTTAAATTTTATAGAAATTTATTTTGCGATGTCAATAGAAAATAATGTAATATCCTTTTAAAATATTTGATGGGTGATGCGTCATTCCTAATTTTTCTGTGATATGGCTTAACGGGGCTCCTACAATCACGAGCACCATCTGCTGAGGTAACGGGGAGGAGGAAAAGGAAAGAATGTGGTCGTCGGCGCTACTTTAAAAGAGGAAAGGATGACTGCGGGTGCGTACCGAGGTAAATTTTTATAATAACAGAGCCGGATTTCGATAGGTGATCTAGCCTGTAAATAGTTACCTATTTTGGTACTCAGCAAGTGATCATTTAGTATTGTTCTACCCTTGTTACTGTTCGTCGATATCGTGTTGTTGAATTGTTGTGCTGTACTCTTGTTGGTGTGATTGTTCTTGAGTGCCTTTTTTTATCAAGGTTGATAATACACAATAAAAGGTCAAATGCGACCATTTTAATTACGAATTCAGTGAGTTTAATTCATGATGAAGACAACAATAGTGTGGAGCAGTTCAACTCTATAATCGCAAAATACATTGGGTAAGGGTAAGCAAATAAATTATTGCAAGAAGAGGTTATACCATGGATGATGTGCTGCAGCTGTAGTGAGCCACAATACCCAGCGGCCTGTCTATGTGGTCCAAATACATTTGCGTTCTAAGTTTAGTCTAACCTCGCTTATCGCTAAGATGGAACAAAGACTCAAATGCATGAATCTTGAAAAGAAACTGAGACCAAACAAAGCTGATATAAAAATAACTAACAATTCGGATAGCAATTCCAAAGAAAATGAATAGTTTTAAGGCGAATTCTGCCAAAAACCTGACATGAACGACATTGATTTGGAGGTTGCTAAGCAAGAATTTTTAGGTAAACTTAAAAAAAGTGACGACGAGATTTTGCAGATCGAACAAGTCACCAAATCACAGGACTGTACTTTGTGGCGCCTTCATCGGAGGATAAGGTTGACAGCGTCCCGATTTGGTGAAGCTTGTAGAAGAAGCCAGACAAGAAGCTGCAAAATTCTAGTAAACTATCATATACCAACAGAGTTTTCTAGTAAGGCCATAAAAAAAGGCAATACGAAAATCAATGGACACGGCAGTTCAATCTTGTGGTTTGTTTATTGATCGCACACATCCATTTCTGGCAGCATCGCCTCCATCTACCTATTACAGTAGACAAGAAATGTACGTATAAGCCTACCTGTTTATTGCTTTGCAATAACTACCTAACTGTTTCCTCTTATTTTGACGGCATAAGATATTTTTATGACCCTCGTTCAATTGTTACCATGTACCACGTGGCCCTTGTAAACATAATTGTCTTTATTGACATGAATAAACGAATTTGAATTCTTGAATTTATTTTAGGAAAGATATCAAATTATTTAAATACATTTTTTCTTAGTCGGAACAGTAGACTAATTTCGCCCAAAAATCGATTTGCACTTCACAGCTTACGTTTCATTTTTTATTATTTCCAAATGAAAGTCTTGCAACGTGCTAAAAACAAAGTCCACAGGGTGCTAACTATCCACTTTTTCGATTTTATCCACTAGGATCTTTTTAAAATATCAAGAAGTTGAGCACAAATAGTAAGCAATTACCATAATTCTTGCGCAAGGACAAAATTTTATGAAAAGCTCTGATAGCACACTAGGCAATTATGTCCTGCGTATAGCCAGAAAAACATCACAAACTGCAGAACACAAATTGAAGGTAACGGCGAAATGGGTACATTTCATCGGTCATGAAATTCAAATGAAAATGCAGGTATAAAATCTACCGAAGTATCATTCTCAAAAACATATTTCCTTGACATATCGATAATTTTAAAGTTCCACGCTAATTTCCCCTATACTTGACTGGAGTGATATCCGAATCCATTCTTTCCTACTGTCGGCAGATCTGTTGGCTCTTGGTATCAAACCTATAGAGCAGGTACCGATTTTTTCAAATCGAGAGCACATTATTCGTCGGATTTTCGTTACTTAAATTTCCTGTAATCACTGGGTTCAGAAGCTTCTTAATAATAGAACGTGTTTCACTGATATCAAAGGTGCAACATTTAGAATCTCCTTCCCTCAACCCCCACTTTTTAAGCAGTACAATGATTAGGAATCCCTGAAACGTAAAAAACGGAGTTTCAGCAATTGTTACTTTTTCTTTTTTGCCTACAACTCCGTTGCCACTGGACTAAAATTACAAAGCTTTGGCATACTAGTAACCCCGTGTGGAAATTTCATAAAAATTCGAGCGGTAATTACCAAGTTGACGCTGAGTGATGTAGTTTTTCGTGCTGAGATGTCATATGACTTAAAAAAACATAACATCTCATTTTAGAAATTTTTCGCGATTACAATGGCCAATGGCGTGGGAAGTAGAACGGCTAAAAATTGAGGAGTATCAGCGATCGTGATTATGAGTCTATTTGCAGAATGACTTATCTACGCGATATTATATGAAATAGGGCCACCAAATTATCTGAATACGTCCTTTCTTAGTTCGTACATTGCGCCGCAACGCTTGGATTGGCAGCACGAAACAGTAGACGAAATTCTTCCAAAATACGATTTGTAGAAGTTTGCGCGCTTCGAAATTGACGCTTTATTTTTTGATATTTTTGAATGAAATTTTCATAGTGTGCTGAAAACAAAATCCCACAGGGTGCTATAGAGCCACATTTTCATTTTTTTCACTAGATTCTGTTTAAAAAAATCGCGAAGTTGAACAGAAAAAGTGCGCACTTCAACCCATCTTAAAACTTGTGCAAAAAAAAATTCAAAAAGTGCTCTTATAGCACCCTGGGGAATTATCTTCTGAACATACTGTATGAATTTCATTCAAAAATATTGAAAAATGGAGTGTCAGTTTCGAAGCAGCTGAACCCTTCTAAAAGGCTTGAAACTCACTGCGTCGGAGCCGCCTTGATTACACAAAACGCGGGCGCGGTGGCGATTTCCCGTGATGCTCCTCAAAGTTTTTGAAAACAAAAAACGGGAAAAATCGTATTTTATAACTTTTCACATAACCTGTCATCAGAAAGGTCAACCCCGTCGGGCACAGCTAATAGATATACTTCATTTATTACAATATTACTGATTTTATACACATGCAGACCAATATTCATAACCATCCAGATGCGATCTTGCTGCACATCCAACTTTCTTCCTTTCACATCTTCTCAGAGATAAACACTACCGACTACTCGGCTTCACAGAACATATCATATACTTGCTCTCTGCAATCAACAATGCGTGTAGTTGAGTCATTCCTCCATAGAAGAACGCTCACAGTGATCATAGCGAGAAAACGTGAAATGAACTATTTGCACCATAGTCTGCAAGATGACATTTTATTAGTGTTTTGACGTTTTATATGTTTTTTACATAATAGCCGTGCGGATTGCATATCTTATGAATCATTTTTTATGTCAGCTTCAGACGATCCTGAATTTCGATCAAGAATTTTCTTTGGCTTTAGACCAATTTCTGTCTTCTTGGTATAAGTGAAGTTGATACCTTCTGATCTGACAGAAGTTGCACTATGGCCTTGTGGGACTTCTCAATCGCGTTTTTTTGTGTTATTTGAAGTAATTTAATTAGAGCAGCAAAGAGAGTGAACCTGCAGTTGAAATAAGAAGCGGGATAAGCAAGTTAATCATGTACAAGTAATCATCAGTTTCAATAAATATGTTTTCATACCAGGTGTTACATTCCGCAGATCCTCCACATGCATTTATTTTGTGTTGTATATGTATATACGGTGGGCATAGTTAATTGTCTTAACTTGTTAGAAGAAAGTATCCTTGATATATCTTTGGGAACTCAACACATTTTTTGCAAAGTACACTGTTTTAACTTTAAAACTCAAGCTTTCTATGTCATCATCATCAGGACCTAAAATCAAAATAGCAACAATACACAATTAAGAGACGTTTCATTATTTACTAAGTCGGCGAGATTG